GCCGAAGGCTCCGGTTGTGGATTCCTCAAGAAAATTCACCTGCCTTGGCCTGGGCAACCTAGCAGTATTCCGCCCATATGCAAATCATGGAACGTCCTTCTTTTTCATAAAGATTATTGTATCATTATTTGTTTGGCACACAGTCTGAATTAGGACGTGTGTGAAAATGAAAAAAAAATAAATGAATTCAAACTGATTAGACAAGAACAATAGAGTAAATAGAGTTCATTCTGATATAGTACGATCGAAGTGTTCACTTAAAACAAATGCTCACGATAATAGTTGACCTAAAATAAAACATAGGTTTTAGGTTTGAACCCCGATTCAGCCTCCGGTCAGTTTACTATTTATTTCTAAAGCAAATTCTCACTGAGAATTACTGCCCTGGTCCAAAAACGGATCGGAAAAGACGTACTCTGTTGTGCCAATTCTTCGCTCCAGTTGCGTCGTTCAGCTCGCAGTCCGGCCACGAGCGATTCTTGTGCGGCCAGTTCGGCTTTGAGTTGTTTTTGTTCCTACAAACAGGAACATGCAGACAGAGTCAAGTGTTCCTCAGGATGAACGATTAGGGCAAAAGAAGCAAACAAATTGAAAAAAGAATGCCAAAGGAGAAAAAAGGAAATACATTATGGTTTAAAAAAATTGCGTAGTACGACAACATGACACCTAAGCTAGTTTATTAATATAGAAAGAAGACAAATTTCGCGAGATGTTAAAATTTTGTTTTGTTTTGGTGCCATATCTGAATACCGCCGAACACGGGGAGACATGATTCCATCGTATATGAAATACTACACGAAGCTAACCACCAGCGTAATACTTTACTAACACTATCCAGGACTGGTTACCTCTGAGGACATCTTTGGTTTAGCCCGTCGATTGTTCATTACACTAAAGTGTGCAATAAAACAAAACAATATGAGTAAAATAGAGAACTACATTGAAGTTCATTATTCTACGTAGTTAACCACAGTAAAAACATTAAACATGAACGAAAAACTTAACAGTTAACATACTTGCTGAAAAATTGGTTCACCGGACATGTGAAACCCAAAAACAGTGAGGATGCGGATATATACAGCAGTGGCAAGTGAGAAGATTCATTCGAGATGAGTTAGTAAGAAAACATTATTTGAATAGCAATGTGTAATGCCTAAATAACCAGAAAAAGAGCACCATTTCAAAAACGAGTTTTCCCAGATCCAACCATGGTGTTCAGGTCGGTCGCGGTGAGGAGATCGATGCGTTCACAACGTTTCTTGAACCCCTGATTTATTATTGTTGGATGCATTGATTAAAGAAAAAGAAGGAGTGAATTTCTAAGACTACCGAGCCCTTGAAACGACATTGTGTCAAATCGTTTTGTTGTGCCCAAAATCTGGCTGCCCTGTCCATGCACTGATACAGTTACGACCAAAGCTGTCGGAACAGAAAACCGGGATGTAGGAATTCAACCAGGAACGACAAACTGGGGGAACTCGAATAACTCATGGATGGAACCGTACGAGGTACGTTTTCAGACAGTTTGATCTCCACGACTAGGAGAATCTTCAGTTTTGACAATAAACTGGCGTTCCAGAGCCCAAAACACTGGCAAAAATATGAAATTGAGACAATCGGAAACTTCACTGCACCTATGTAAAATGTTTTCCAGTTCTGAGACAGTAAGGCTGAAGTGTTTGATCTTCAGGTGATTGTTTTCATTATTTGGTCAGGTGATCGGTGGGTGAGTAAGCTAAAAGCACTTCGAATCATTCAGACACATTAGCCGAGATAAACTTATATGGTACACTTCTGCAAAGCCTAAATCCGTCTATGAGCTCACTGTGTGACTCTAACGGAGTGCAATTTCGACTCAGTTAAATCACGTGGTCGCCAGTGTGTNGTTAGCAAATGCCTCCTTGCAGTCCCACAGAAAGAATATATTAGGGTACAGTCCTTCCAACCACACAGGACAGACTAACTAATTAAAGACTTAGAGCTTGATTTGCGTGAATTTGTACGAGGCTAGTCGCATCAGTCAGTGCCCAATGAAAGGGATGGACATCCTAAATTGGTAGTGAATAAAGAAAGTGAATTAGTTTTGCGAAGTCGAGTTTGGAGAACTCAAATTGCTCTAGTGTTTGGAGGTATGATACAAGCAGTATTCACAATTTGGAAGAGATTTTATTGTTTCAAAAGTGGTCATCTACAATCAATAACGTGGTTAATATACCAATCAAAACCGTCCTTAAGGATGGTATGAAACTACTGAAAAAAAAATTCAACCGGGTAGATTTATGTAAACTTTGAGGAGCATAATCCGGTATGCCCAAATTTCAAGCTGTCACACGGTGCTCAAGGGATAATAGCTCTTCATTTCAATTTGTCTTGTATAAACAACAGTAAATTTTAGATGATTCCACGTACTACATTTTAAATTACGCCTAAAGGCCGTAAAGTCATGGTTTCAAATAGGTTCCGATTGTTTCAAGAAACGTTTTATGATTATTTTAGTCTACCTTCACACACGTTCAAACGGTCAAGGAATTAAAATTCAAAGACATCATGATCACTACTGAGATGTCAAACGTCACCGATCCCCTCACATTCATTCGTGCGGTTAGGAACTAGTTTCACACTCAGTAGTTTAGACAATTAACAAGAATTTGCACATATATCGATCCATTTTTGTTTTAGTGTGCTTTTCGATACTTATTGAACTTTCGACTGTCTATCTCCCTGGGATTTCTGTGCTACCATAGCTGGGGAACGATTTCACGGTTTCAATTCCTTGGTTTTTGTGCATTTGTGACGACTCAGGATAATTTTCTCAAGAAGATCGAACGCTATCACAAAAAATAATAACAACTGTAGGGAGCTTTGTAGTCATACGGCTCAATACCGCGTCTAACCTAGTGGGGTCTTATGTCGTTCCAAGAACCGCAGGGCTTAGGTTGCGGTTTCCATCACTGAATAGCAGATCTACGCTACCATGGGGTTCACTTCGTTTGCTTAAATGATACACAAACAGTTATAGAAAACACAGAAAATTCCATTATTACTCCATATAAAAAGTAGTCCTCTGTTAGGTATCTGACACATTAGGGTTCAAATTTTAGTAAATTTGAGAATGTAATCTGAAACTGATTTCCCGTTGCTTGAGTTGATCGAGAGAGAGGGGTGGTTTATGAATTCCTCTGCGTAAAATGTGAGATCGATCGTTTCCGATGGACAAAAAGGCCAGATAGTGGATTCATTGGTCATTCAAGACCATTTCAACTACGAAAAAATCAAACTACTGACACAACGAATTCTACCACACCAATGAAATAAGTTCTCCACTACTCTTGTGCAACAATTAGACGGGTTGGAATTTTCCAGCGAAGTCATAACCCCGGAGGCTAGTGCTGAGATGAGCGAGATGCGATTCCGGCAACAAGATCGCAAACATGGGCTGTACAATATCGTGCAAAGTAAAAATGCAAAAAGGCGGTAGGATCCGCTGCTCGGTGGTCGAATGGGTAGTACTGTTGCGTTCTTCTTGTAAGGTCCGGGTTCGATACTCAATTGGATTTGCACTGCTGAGGAGACCCAACCAGGTCGAAACAGCTATGCAATGCATCCCGGCTTTTCAAATGAAGCTTTATTTGCTTTTTATACGACATAATTCATCGCATACTTGAACCAAATTTTTCACTACTGTCATGTGAAATGTAGTAGAAATTGGAATGCAGTCATTCCCAGGAGGAAGAACTCACATAACACAATAAAGGCAATCCTGTATTATTTGAGGGAACCTCTGTCTCAATGGAATCTATTCACTACGCTATTGAGGGCCTAGACAGAACCCGCTTACACAACGAATCAAGGTTACATTCAAGCCTGAGCATAGTGACCGAGTTATCGATCCATCTTGATGTGATTCGCTTCCTTACACTGTCGATTGAGGTCAATTGTTGACAGGTTTGCTCATGTTTCTCTGAGGTTCACTCGATAAATGTTAAAGAACATGACGTTCCCGGGTGGCGGTGATGGTGGTGGGGATGAACAGTCAAACGGTCCAAACGGTGACGTTTGACGGCCGAAGCACGAATCACCTTGTAGGGCTCCCAGTGCAATGCGACCGATTGGATTCGCTTGAAGTTAGAACAGTTTCGCTTGAAATTGAAAAGGCATAGAGAATACGCTGGAAGTAAGAAGTGAATATATATTTTGGTAGTGCGCATATCCACCCACTGTTGTTAGACGCGTGGCGTCTGTGGTGTGTTTATTGAGCACTCGCTTAATATGCCATGTGGGAGTCCGGTCAGTGCGAACTAATATCGATGACACTGGTGCACAATAGCGCGATGCCTTTGCACTGCTGACTATAATACAAGGACAAAACGTGATTTCAGTTAACAATTTAGAATAGGACATCATGGTTTTGTACACATCAAATGCACATAGGTAAATTTTCAGTCTGATCGATAAACTCTGACTTACCGCTTTCAGATTTTCCATGTTTGTCAGTCGAGTACGGGCCTCTTCCAGATGTTTTTCCAATGTCGCAATCCGTTCCTGTGGGATATAATATGACAAAATCCGGGTGTATGACGAGTAGAAGAACAGTTCAACTCATTATGCTCATACTCACCCTGATAATTAGTGATAATCGATACGCAAACGTGATCAAAGTTTCATTTTCAAATTTACTCCATGTTGTGTGAAACAATGGGATTAGATGAGTTGTTCAACAAAAGACTGTATTATAATGTGACGCGAGTGTTCCGTTCGAAAAAGGCCGTTCGCAATACCTGTTCCATGACATGGGAATAATGATTGACTGAGCAAACTGGAAGTATTCCACTCACAAATAAATCATGGAACGTTTTTTTTCTTTTTATAATGGTTATAGTACCGTGATTTTTCGGCACATAGTCTGAACTCAGACGTGTAAAAAATACAAATACAGGAGAATTGAATATGGAGGTAAGGATGTGTCGGATCAGAGGGTTAGCACCTTTGACTCAGAGGATTGCTTGCCCCCTTGGGGCATCCGACATTCTTTGGTCTCTACCTGGTGTTCAGCTCTCACTCGTAGGCTCTAAGAAGCTGTCTGGATGGAACAATGGCCACAACCCGGTAAACCGTTCGACAGGCTGACCAAACCAGGTTGAGGGTAACCGGAAGCTCAAATCCCGGCGGTACCAGCGCGTTTAGCGGACGAAGTCGCTTGCATGATTCAATGGTCAAGGCAATAACTCCTTAACCACTAAGGATTCATGGATCCCTGTTCAACTAAAAACTGCCAATAGTGTAGGAACCTCTCCACCCACCCACCCCTAGGGGGAGGGGACACCGGGGACCATGCGCTATCATCCTTCTGCCTTGCAATTAGCACTTGGATACGCAAAGTCTGGAGATGATACCTCGACTTAAAACCGGGTGACACTGGAGACGTTTTCTGTACCTAACACCAAAGAAATTTCATAAAATATCCGTGAAGATGGCTTATCCTCTCTCAGGAGCCAGCCGCTGTAAATTAGTAAGTAAGCAGTAATAAGGAGGTATGTGTTTGAACTGAATGACAACAATCGTGGATCCAAGTGAATGAAGATGACTCATACCGAGACAGTATGTTGCATAATTTGGGGCTAGACGGAATCTTCAGTGAATGTAACTTCCCCACATGTTAGACACACACACATCCATCGGGCACGGTCAAGTGAAGCGAGCCAACGCATGCTTTCGCACTGAAACAGCACTGCACGATGAACCAGCCGAGAACCTGATATCGCTGCCATTACGTATTCAAATTGTTGGTTGCCCGAGAGGTCCGATCGCCAGACTGCCATGTCGCCTCATCGTCTGTCTGCACCGGATCACCTGAACGCGGAACGACTTTTCAAGGTCAAATAACAACGGCCTATCGGGTACATGCAATGAGGGATGCGAATAACCGACTGATTCCGTGTTAGGATACACCTGA